TGGCGAAGGGCGCGGTGATGGCGATGGCATCCCGTGCAGCAGCAACAACTCCACTGCTCCGCGCTTCGTGGGGGAGGGCGTCCCGTGCAGCAACTCTACATCAATGGCGTCTGAGATAAAGTAGATAGGCAGAAGCAGCGGCGTGGGCAGGGCGGGGAAGAAAGGAAGGAAATGTGGTGTGTGGACAACACCCACGCTGGAAAGGATAAGGGAAGCAGAGCGGTGTGCGGGCCACGCGGGATGACGTGTCCCTCCTGCTTTAGCGCTACACGTGGGGTGAGTGAGTAGACCGGCCGAAGTTTCGGCCGGCGCCCCGGCTCTAAACGTTTACCTTACCATTACCGAAACATGCCCAAGGAACAATAATGGCATTGAATCCATGATGAATGTTCTTCGTGTGATTATCTTTTGTTCTTTACTTTAGTAACAATAATGAGATATAAAGAAAAAAATGGTGAAAGTTGCATTGTGGAAACTAGATATATGAGAAAATAGATGGGAAAATTATGTACTCCTTCGAGGACGCAAACATTTGACACATGGTGCCACGTGTGGATGGAATATGGGCTAACATCTGTGCTACCAGATTTGCATTTAATATAGCAAATTAATGAATATCAAAATGACACAGTGGGTTAATTTGACGAATACGCGTCTATGATACTCAAAGTAGGTGGGTTGAGCTAGGCACCTCAATGTGTGGTGGGCTAGACATCTATTTTCATTGTGTTGTCTTTTATGGATACTAGCAAATATGCTCATGCGTTGCAACAAAAAATAAAATATCACATTGCCCCTAAGAGCATCTACAACCGGACCCTCCATTTCCGCCCAAATTATCGAGTGACTTGCCAGGTCAATGTCCGGACAAAAATTAGCCACCCAACCGGCTCCCCAAACCTAGCCCAAGTGCCTGGGCTATCCAGCAACCCCATATCCGGCCCATATATGGGGCAGATATGGGGAGGCCCGGATGCGACCGGACACTACCGTCGGTCTAGCCCGGTGTGGGCAACGCCACTCCCACCATTGTCCCCACAAAAAGTAAATCAGGTGCCAAACCCTTGTATCAAAGAGAGTTAGCAAATTTGGGGTTTATGGTCACCCGCGGGCGTTTGGGAGGCACCATTTAGTACTTACAGTTGTAGATGCTCTAACTCAATAAGCATGGTTCAAGACTCACCCTAAACAAACACACACACACACAGTCCTTTAGTTGAACATGACGTCGCATCTGTACTCCCACTTATTTTTCTTCCCACCCTCAATGATGGTGGGCATGATAGCCAATTGATCAATATGTGTCTTAACATGGTTGATCACAAGGAGATGAATCACAGAACCACGACAGCACATGGGAATGTTTTAAACTTTCAAATCTAATTTCCGGTAACCGATCAAACGGGGCTAGAGAGAGAGAGAGAGAGAGGCAATAATTTAACAAAGTTATACAACATATGTTATTTGGTTTCTTCTAAGAAATAACATCGTTATTTGGTTTCTTCTAAGAAATTTTAAAAAAATGTGTTAACATTTCCAAAAATGTGCATGTTGCCAAATATATTATTATTTTTGGATATGTTTCCTTTTCTTGTTCTGATATTTAAATATACAACATATGTTATGCATGAATTACATACTATTTGCTCAAGAAAATATCGTATTACCATTGAGAATTTTCCATATTATTACCATATGCCACCTAAAACTACCAGTTGTTCAAAATTGAGCGGGTACATATTTGCCAGTTCAATTTTAAAATCACTTTTTATGTCATATATCAGCTATATTTTTTTGTGAAGTTACTTGTGCATCAAATTTCACTTTAAATATCAATGTTTGTATCGGTTTGTTTTTTCATATAATTATATAGAAATTAAAAAACTATATAATTTTGGCTAAACACTTAGTCACGGCCATGACAAAAGTCTTGGCCGATCCCCTTTCTCCTTCTTCATGTGAGCATCCATGGAGAACGTTGAAAGTGCTAGTGATCGACTAGAGGGGGGGGGGGGTGAATAGGCGATTTTTATGAAAGTTTTTAAAACATGGAAGTTTCGAAGACAAATGATAGAAATAAACCTATTACCATGCAGCGGAAGGTAGACTATACTAAGCAAGCCATAGTCAAGTATTCAATGAAATGAAAGCACAAAGACTTATAGCAGCTAGGCAGTATAGATCAGGATGGAAGATAGTATGAAGCCAATCAGAACAAGCAGTCACACAGTGAAGACAAATAGATAATGCAAACAGGCAATGACTTCACAAGGACCAATCTGCAAATAAAGAGATGGGAAGGATAGAACCAGTGGCTCGTTGAAGACAATGATTTGTTGGACCAGTTCCAGTTACTGTGACAACTGTACGTCTGGTTAGGGAGGCTGAGGT